AATGCATAATGACTCCCTCATCTTTGGTTCGAAGGTCTTGAACTTTCAACCGGTATACCCAATGTTGGATCCACTTGGTGTTGCCAAATCTGGATCGACGGATCGACAGGATCGACATCTGGATCGACATACAGACATCAGGGCAAACGCACAGAATTCACCAACCAAACTGCAACATGTCACCTGTAGAGACCCTACCTTTTGGTGGCACCAAATTAAATGGTTCCAATCTGTAAATCCCCAATTTCAATGGCCTACCTCACAAGACTTGACCAACAAAGGAATTCCTGCTGTAGGGCGTTTGCCCCTCATTTTTGCAGATGAAATCACCAGCTGCTATGTTTGGTTCATCTCTCCTGTCAACGATTTAAGAATTCTAAATTATTCGAACATATTTAACAGTTAAAATTTAACAGGTGATCCTGACAAGTTTGCCCAGAAACATCGGAAAAGGGTGCAAATCTATATCTCACCATTCGAAAGCATCGGCCACCTGTTGTGCGGAAGTCAGGCGTGCGTGTGCGTGGCGTGTACGGGTGTGTGGGTGTTTGACTACCCAGGGTGTACCAAACAAAAACATTGTAGCCCAAAGCCGTTTCTGTGGGGGTTGTAGAATTTCAAAGGCTCTGGCAAAGTTCAACCATTCCCAAACAAAACATGATACTGATAAAACAATATCATACAATATTTGGGTTTGGCAGAAAGTGCGCTGAGTAGGAATCAGCTTCAAGCAAAATCAATTGTTAAGCTATCCGCCGTGAACCTGCGTTTATTAGAATCAAATGCATCATGTTTGCCCCTTGGAACTCATATTTGTTCCCCACCTGCCAGGCGAGGGTTGTTAGATTTTATCAGAGTTGTTCTTCTCCTCCTCGTCCTCTTCCTCCTCTTCCTCCTCCTCCACGTTCTCCTCCACCATCTCTGCCTCCACTTCCATGTTCACTTCCGCCTTGCCAACTCTTCGCCAGGCTCTTCGCCAACTTCCGCACGCAGTGGCCACTGCTGGACCTCAACTGCAAGGGTCTGAGCGCGCTGGACACCGCTGGACCTCAACCTGGGATGTTCCGAGGTCAGTGAGGATCGCTGGACCTCCACCTGGGACCCTCCGAGCTCAGTGAGCACGGCTGGACCTCAACCTGGGACCCTCCGAGCGCACTGAGCACCGCTGGACCTCAACCTGGGACCCTCCGAGCTCAGTGAGCACCGCTGGACCTCAACGGCCAGATAGAATGCCAGAAGATATGCCAGATAGAACGCCAGATAGCATGTCAGATAGAATGTGAGAAGATATGCCAGATAAAATGCCAGAAGATATGCCAGATAGAATGCCAGAAGGTATGCCAGAAGGTATGCCAGATAGAACGCCAGAAGGTATGCCAAATAAAGTGCCAGAATGTTTGCCAGAATGTTTGCCAGATAGAATGTCAGAAGATTTGCCAGATAGAATGCCAGATAGAATGTCACAAGATATGCCAGATAGAGTGCCAGAAGATATGCCAGAACATATGCCAGATAGAATGCCAGAAGATATGCCAGAAGATATGTCAGATAGAATGCCAGAAGATTTGCCAGTAACAAAACGTATAGATGTCATATCTTTTGACATTCTATCTGGCATATCTTCTGGCATTTTATCTGGCATATCTTCTGGCATATCTTTTGGCATTCTATCTGGCATATCTTCTGGCATTCTATCTGGCATATCTTCTGACATTTTATCTGGCACATCTTCTGGCATTTTATCTGGCATATCTTCTGGCATTCTATCTGACATTCTATCTGGCATTCTATCTGGCTTTTGGGGTCCAGCGGTGCGCACTGAGCTAGGAAAGGTCCAGCGGTGCGCACTGAGCTCGGCAGGTCCCATGTGAGGTCCAGCGGTGCGCACTGAGCTAGGAAGGTCCCAGGTTGAGGTCCAGCGGTGCGCACTGAGCTGGGAAGGTCCCAGGTTGAGGTCCATTGGTGCGCACTGAGCTGGAAAGGTCCCAGGTTGAGGTCCAGCGGTGCGCACTGAGCTAGGAAGGTCCCAGGTTGAGGTCCAGCGGTGCGCACTGAGCTCGGCAGGTCCCAGGTTGAGGTCCAGCGGCGCGCACTGAGCTAGGAAGGTCCCAGGTTGAGGTCCAGCGGTGCGCACTGAGCTGGGAAGGTCCCAGGTTGAGGTCCAGCGGTGCGCACTGAGCTGGGAAGGTCCCAGGTTGAGGTCCAGCGTGCGCACTGAGCTGGGAAGGTCCCAGGTTGAGGTCCAGCAGTGCGCACTGAGCTGGGAAGGTCCCAGGTTGAGGTCCAGCGGTGCGCACTGAGCTGGGAAGTTGGCGAAGAGCTTGGCGAAGAGTTGGCAAGGCGGAAGTGGAGGTGGAAGTTGATGCAGACATGGTCGAGGAGAAACTGGAGGAGGAGGCGGAGAAGGAGGAGGAGGAGGAGGACAACAGCTCTGATAAAATCCAACAACCCTCACCTGGCAGGTGGGGAAAAAACAGTTCCCATGCTTTACCGCCAAAAGATGTGCCAAACTCCATTTCGCTATGTTTGATTGCCAGAATTGCCGGAGGGTACACCTTTTGGCGGTTCCATGTCCATATTTTCGGCAATTCACACAGTGGCCTGAGATCAGAGTGTCGTTCTCCGCATCGCTTTTCTGGAGCTCCGGGAGAGCGAAACTTCTGTGTTCACATCTGCATCTGAACAGGGATCCTTGGAGTGTTGGCCATGGGAGTTGGAAGCCAACTGGCTGCATCCGACCCCATTCCTTTAGAGAAGCAATGCAGGACCTGTCAAAAAGAAAATCTAGGGGCACATATCTATGAAATTCTATGAACATGTCCCTTTTTTCTCCAGTTGAGGCGCCAAAACAATCAAGAGTTCCGCCAATGTCAAGGGGGACAGATATAAAGTCTGCCTATGATAATACTGGTCCAATATTACTTTGACGGATACCCTCTGGTAATTTAACATAACTATGGAAAATCACCATTTATAGTGAATTTTCCCATTAAAAATGGTGATTTTCAATAGCTATGTTAAATTACCAGAGGGTACAACATGGATACTTTGCCTTTTCGAGGTGAAAACTGCGATCAGGGGATCGGGCTATCTCGAAGCAAACTGGAGCTTGTGCCCTCCGCCACTGCGATATCTGATTGGGTATGTGTGCATTTCAACGCAGTACAACAAAAGGTTATGTTGATCTATGATGATCTATGATGATCTATGATCTATGCCATTTTTTTTGCAAAGGGACGGGATGTTCTTTTTCTCTTGTTCCACGAAAAAAATCGCTGGTCTCAGACCAAGATTCGCATCCGTCGGTCCAAAACCATTCCTGAGCGGCGGAACACGCCACGTGGCAACGTGACAGTTCACCCTGGGATATCCAAAATCGAAGCCTTTGCAACAAATAGCAATACCCAAAATGAATCAACTGGCATTTGTGTGGCGATTCCTGGATTCTTCCCTGACAACTTAGACTCCACATGACTCCACAATGTTCTTCCAAGCTCAAGGGGTCATCAATGAACATCATTGATCATCATAGACCGGAAACATGCATAAACAGTTACCGGTAAGTTGCTGCATTTCAGCAGCTGCTGGAGTGTACAAAAACGCTCAACCAGCACGCTGAAGCCTGATGACGAAAAAGCCAAGCGTCATGGAGCATGATTGTTCTGACCGGTGGGCGCCAGTGAGATTCAACTGTTAGGCATTGTCTGATGACAGACCGGCCTCAGCAGTTAAGAGTTGATCAGGTGTTGCTCAATTTGGACCATGAACCCCTGTTCCGGTGTTTAGAGTGTATGCAATCCAGCTTTCCAAATCCCAAGGGTGCTGTTTCATCATGCTTTCTCCGCAGCATAAACAAACAAAACCAAGGAAGCTTTGGTGGAAACATTTGGGTTTGACTGAAAATAGGGTACCCTAGGGTACCCCAAAATCCATGGTTTATCAAATGTTTACCAATTAAAATGGCTATTTAGTGGTATACCCCCATGTTCAAACACATCCCTTTGCCGAAAAAAGGACGCAAGAACCGTGCAACTCCAGAGCTATCTCCTGCTGAAACATTTGCAGAAGCAAGTCACAAGGTTCTGACAAGGCTTGACACCTCGGTGCTTTGCGCAAATTTGCGCAAACCGGACCCCAGTTCTGGGACTTATGAATTGCACAAAAAGTGACATAGTTGTACAGACTTTGTTTCACTTTTTCACCAGTATTTCATCAAGTTTCTTGGATCAGTTTGTTAGTTACTGGTTTTCTGCAGAGTTTTGTCTCAATCAATGGATTTCCATGGATCGTTTCCGAATGGATGCAGCCCAGCAGACCTGGAGTCCATGGAGGTGTTCAATCCATGGGGGTACCATCCAGCTATTGGGGTAGCACCATGGAAATCCCACCGGTTTCCAAGCCAAGGAGACATGTTCCCCCCCCAGGCAGTGGGACAACCGGATGTTAAGGAAACACACATCCAATGCCAACCCCAGATTCATAAACTATCTCTCTCTCTCTCTCTATCAATCAGGGGCTTTTCGGGGAGGCTTCCCCCAACCAAAACTGTGACAATGCATTTAATTTATTGATAAACTAGCATTACCAAATTATATAAAATATTTTGTAATCATATTGATATATGGTATACCATTACCATTACCATTTACCATTGCCAAATTATATAAGATATTTACTATTTACTCATTTACTACCGGTGATTTTCGAGGCAAAATTGTTGGTCTACTTGGAGGATGACCAATCTGGTGATGAAAACCCTGGTGTCCACTAGAAATCGCCGAGAAATGAAGATCCAACAAAAACATGACAAGGGACATTCAAAATTTTAGTCAGTTGAGATGATTATTCCCAATATATGGGAAAAAAAACCATGTTCCAAGCCACCAACCAGTCTGGTAAAATAGTGCTACAATGTGGTACAGGGTATAAATCTAACAGTAACATAACCTGCTCTAGTTTTCTTTGTACTATACCATGGTTACCATGAACAGACCCTCCCCTCAGCCTGGGACTTCCACATGGCTTCCCAAGTTCTCACCGTGGCACCACGAGCCCTGAACCTTGAGCTCCGGGTGGTCCACGAAGACCCCTTCAGGCAGATTCTTCCAGGGCAATCGCCCGGCAAGCCTGGGAGTCTGGGGAAACCAACCGACTCAATGGGGGGAAACCATGTCATAAACCAACTATATAAAAATATACGTATGTGCATATATAATCATATATATATAATATATAATTGTATATATATATATATACCGTACCTTTATATTTATTGTGAAATTGGGGGATGGTTTGTAGCATCCATATTTTTTCGGCATCCAGTGTTCGGAACACTCCCCGAGCATCTCCAAGCACGAAAAAATACTACAGCTACACAGCACAGCACAGCCAAAAAAAAATGGGCAAAACCACCGACTAAACAAATCTGCAGCAACATGTAGAAGACACAAATGCCGCAGCCCCAAACCTAGGCCGTCGCTAAGGGAGCTGGACCCCCAACTCCACACTGATCTACTTGTGTTGCTGGGGAAAATAATGCCAAGGATTGACCCCCGAAAAAGGGTGTTGAACGGGAACATCATATACAAAATGGCCTCATTGTAGGTACAGTATGTTTCATGAAGGCTCCCTACATCACTAATGCTCGTTTGGCGAGCCCATCATTTTTCTGTTTCTGGCTGCCCGTCATTACACATATTTCACATATTGAGTTTGTCTGAAAATTGGGGACCCACAAATTTCCTGCTTGACCATCAAATGTTCCATTCTGTTCCATTAAAGTCGCCCATTCATGATGAGTGCCTGAGTGCCCTAATATTTTTCAGACACACCCATGTATGACATGGCCCAGCTTAGGCACCCTGCAATAGATAACAGATAACATAGATTCTGAGCTGGTTGTAGGTTCATATACCCCCCACTGAAAGTAATTACATATTTAAGCACCATGAAGTACCCATAACCAGTTGGTTTTATCCCTATCTTGATGCTATAAATTCACCAGATTCAACCCCCCATGTATGGGGTTTCCTAAAATACGGGTACCCCCAGTTATCATCCATTTTAGTAGGATTATTTTCCCTTATAAACCATCCATTTGTGGTATCCCCATTGAACCCCCCATGTGTTGGCCTCCACCTTTCCTGCCAGGTGGCATCGTTGGCTTCGGAGGGCGGCTCGCCGTTGATGACCTCTGGCGCAAAGTAGAGCCGTGTCCCCGTGACCGTCAACGAGCCTAGCAGAGTCGAGACTGGAGATTTGCGAGTGGATCAGTGGATGGTGATGTTTCATGAAGGAGAAATACATATAAAATCAAATAAATGATGATATACATGATGGTAAATGATGATAAATGATAAATGATGAGATAAACGATAAATTATGGTTAAATGATGATAACCGACAAAAAATAATTGCTACATGATGATAAACGATCAATAATGGTTAAATGATGATACATGATAAATGATGATAATGATAATATCTGGTGATGTTTCATCTGGTGATGTTTCTGGTGATGATAAATGATAAATAATGATAAATGGATACACGATTTGGATCATTTTGGATCAAGTAAGGAATTTGGAGCTGCATCTCGCCAGATTATTTCACTGCAATTGAAGTACAACTTGATGATTGTAGTGCATTTAGGTACCTTCCGATCTGTAACATCAAGCAAAGAAACACGATTTATTTCCAGCCCGCTCCAGAGTTGCAAATCGGCCCACGCACTCCGTCTAGGCAAAATCGAAATAACATGAAATTCCCAAATAATTGAACGCATCATTCAGCTATATTGTGTATTAAGAACATGTCATGATTATTATTACTTTATATATACCCGATGAAATTAGGGGGAAGGGGTCGCACCCAGCTTAAGCATAAGATGGTGGGACGTTGAAAACCGCAAGGGGATCAGTTTTTGGGGCCCTTCGGGCCCGGGACCAAAAAGCTGGGCCCGGTTTTAGCACCAAGATTCGACTCTAAAATCCCACAGCTGATGACCTTTTTATAAGAAGTTGCTATCTCAAATAACATTTCTGGGCATCATTTTGTGAGGTATATATAGGTATATAACAACTTCTGGTTCTCTGCTTTTTTCTCCCCGGACTCGTTTATTTTGACGCATCCTTTTTGTAAGGGTTCCTGTTCTTTTTGCAATGAACGCAAGCTGTTAAAAGTTTGCCACCCTTGTGCAAGTATTGGCAATCGCTATCCACATGATAGCGAGTTTCGGTTCTGGTGACCCAAACTACTTCCGGAATGCTATCATTTTTGGATTTGGTGGAGGCACCTATGTTCTTGCTTACAAAATGCCTCAAAAAACCATACCCGATGATCTTATAGAATCAGTTGGCCCTTCAAAACTCTTAGAAAATGAACACTTCAAAATGTGCAACTTTGCCTTTTAGGTGTCCTGTTACAAAATGCCCCGGTGCAGGAGCTTCTTGTAACTACAAAATGCGCATACATATATATATATATATAACATTTATATATAACAGGGTCGGCCCCTGCCAAAATGCAAAGGAAATTCCATCAGGTATCTTTAGATTACTGTATTTTTCAACGATCTTTGGGATGACTTCCAAAGCACATCAAAGCACCATTCATCGCAGTCCCCGCCTCCCTCAGTCAAGCGTTTGGCCACGTTAAAGTCCAGCAGTCTCAGGTCCGAAAGCCCTGCCTCAGATGTTGCCCAAGCCCACATCCAGTAGGCCAGTAGGCTAAGGACACCAAACATTGGCAACCATAGTAATGAGGAATCATTTATGGGGCTATACCAGATTAGTGGATACCATTGGAGGAATCCCTTTGTTGGGACACACTGTTCAAACTGCTCCATTTCTTCATGTTGACCAAAAGTGGTCGGAAACTCCACAAAATCACCAAACAACAAAGGAGTTCCTCGTACCAAACGGTTGGATGCCCCGTCCTCTGAAGGAAAATTTTCTCACATATGCTCCCTCTCAGTCCGGACAGTGATCCCTGGATCTCTCGCATTCAAGGAGCTGAAACCATGACGTTGGAAGGTTTCACATCTCTGTGAATGATACGATGTGAATGAAGGTAACCTGGCTGATGCTTTTTTCCCGAATCGGATGGCTCGGGTCTACAACAGAATGTCATCAACTCAGAGTATTCAACTAAAAAAAAAGCATGGCACAGCATGACATAGGCTGACAGCCACCAGAAATGTCACCACTGATTTGTAGGTCGCCAAGGAGCACACGGCTGAAAGCAACGCGCGAAAGAGTTCCCGGGCTGTCAGTTCTGGAAAGTGACCCAGGGAACTCTGGTGCACTGCCTCCTGGCGCATTCGCAATATTTCGCAATGAGTTTAAGCTGAAAATCAATGGATTGGTTGGGAAGATTTCTGCAGTGCCCGATGATCTTAATGCGAAAACCAATGGTTTCCGGTGTTCAGATTTTCCCTTAAGCCCATTGTGGAAATGGTCAAAACGTCGCAGGGCTTGACCCAACACCAGTCGAACCTCAAGGCTGCTTCCATCAAAGTACTCCAAGACCTCAACAGCGTGGCTATGTGTCGAGATTTAACGACTATAACTGGATACCTTCACATCAAAACGCGGATCAGGATATACCCGTGTTTTTATATAATAACAACAGTGATAATAATAATTATGATTGACAACAATAAATAGTATATATATATATGTAATGTGTGTATATGTATATATATATATATAAATGGCCAATTTGCAATAATGCACAAACTTGAAATATCCTGAAATATACTGAAATAAGATAAACATAAGGTCACAGTGAAGGCATCAGGGGGGAACCTTGGATACACAGAAGGAGACCCTGTGTCCTGTCCTGCCAGGTGCGTTCAAACTAACAAAACACATAGAAACTAACGCAATTGGGGAACTAGATGGCAAGTGCTCGTGTCAGTCTGTAAAACCCTCTGTTCTTGCAAGCTACTGATTGGGGCTCCCATATCATAATGATCATACGGGATTATAATCCCCAATCTACTGAATATTGGAATAACATAATAACATTGGATAGTACTGGATAGTTTTTTCAAAACATCATAGCATATCATAGCCTCCTAAAATCATCATCATACGGGATTATAATCCCCAATCTACTGAATATTGGAATAACATTGGGTAGTACTGGATAGCATCAACCAACAGGGCTTTGAACATATAAAACAAATATATAAGCACTGCTCCACTGCCCCAAGGGGCCAAGATGGAGCTTACAGAGGTCTCCAGGTAGTCGAAGGCCCGGATGATGTTGGGATGTTTGATGGACCTGAGCGTTTCCAACGGCATCCCACGCATAGGTCATGGATACCCTCTGGTTATTTAGCATAGCCATGGTATAGATGGCCCATTTATAGAGGTTTACCGTTCTTAAAAATGGTGATTTTCCATGGCTGTGTTAAATGACCAGATGGTAACAAATTTGGAATGGGAATTCATCCTCTCTGAAAAAGGTCGGTAGGAAAAGTCACACACATGTTGGAGCCGGCGGAACTGATCTGGCCGCCTGGCCAAAGGCGAGTGAAATTCGGTTAGCCAAAAAATCACGGTCCCAGTCACTGCAGAATTTTGAACTCGGCCTCCACCAAAGCAGACTTGTCCTTACTACCTTGGAGATTTGTGTCGGCGATACTCCGTGGCAGTTTATCACTCATCCGAGGTCAAGGTTGAGAGCTGGGTCACCAATCTTCTACGTGTCTGGTCTGAATGGAATCGCAATTTCAGAACATTCGGATTGCAAAGCGGTGCTTTTTAAAACAGGTCCTGTGCGGTATCGTATTAGAAGGTCACTAAGTTCATCTACAATCATTCATTGTCGATCCCAACAAATCGCAATAATAATTCCACATAAATCCCATGACCCTCTGGTTATTTAATATAGCCATGGAAAGATCCACCATTTTTAAGAACGGTAAACCATCTATTTCTATGGGCCATCTATACCATGACTATGCTAATCATAACCAGAGGGTAAATCCCAATAAAATGGAAAATCACCATTTTTAATAGGGTAAATCCCAATAAAACCACCAATTCTAGCACAATCAAAGCCCTTTTATCCCAATGGTTGCCCCTTTCGCTTCACCTTTTACCCCTTTTACCAGGGCGCCGGAAATCTTCAGTGAGACCACAAGGCCGTCCTTCTTTCGAATCGCCTTCCTGGCCCAGATCTGCTGTCGATTCACACATATTTGGTGTGTACTGTGTACATACAATATCATATACAGTACAAGACATTACAATACATTACATCACATTAAATTACATTACGTTACATTACATTAGGTTAGATTAGATTAATTAGATTAAATGTTACATTACTTTACTTTACATACATATTTAATCATATTTACATTAATATACACATATAGCAACTTCCACAAAAACAGTAAAATGATAAGTCAGTGACGACTGCCGTGCCGCCTGACGGTTGCCACAGAGCCCCGGCCCAACTGTTCGAGCATCTCGTAGTGGTCGTGTGCATCCACAAACGTCTCAGTGGTTTCCTGCGGCGCCGTCGTTGTGCCACGGAATGGGGACCCGGGGACCGGCCCATGGATCCATTGGAGTTTGATGAGTTAGCTATTTAAAAAAATGGTGATTTTCTATAAGTATAGTAGTTTTATGTAGTTTTAGCCTTTTGAAACTATAATAAAACTGATTAAACATGGTGATTTTCTCTACGTATAGTTACATATATTATCATATATTCAAATTTCCGAAGGGGAGCTGCATGGTATTTTCCAGCACCTGGCTATGTCCAAAGACATGCTTCCCCTTTGTGCTGCACGAAACTTAGTCGTTCTTTCTGAGCAACCCATGGAAACTGCTCTTTGCATCATGCCCACACACTATCACACTATCACACACACACACATGCGTCACGCTGCCTGCAGGATTAACAAAAGAAACAGTTCCCTCAAAATCAATGAATGGACACATGCATTTATAAAAAACAATTAATACTTTCGAAATGGCCTTCCGCTTTTACCCTTCGTTATTTAGAGACACCCAGCCCTTTATATAACGGCAACCATGTCACTCGGGTGATCTTGTTGCAATCCTCGGCACATGGAGAAACTTGACACATGCAAGGATGGCGATTGGACAGATTGAACAATATGTCAAAATATTTAGGCTTATTACTTATGACTCAAAAAATAGGGGGGTTCTTAAGTCATGAGAGATCCCAAAGTCACCATGGGTTTCCGTACTAAAACGCTTTCATCTTAGGATGGTTTGGGTGTAGCCACATGGCTTAAGAAACCTCGATCGATGACTTTTCAACATGACTTTCTGGTGCTCCAGCCAGATTCAGGATTCAACATCCGAACTTAGCTGCAAAAAGCACCATGGTAACCACAATAACATCATGTCTATAGATGCATTACTAGCACATGTAAATACAAGTGCAAATGTCTCTCTAGATTTTTGTGGGTTTCAAGAATGATAAAGTCAAAATATATTAAACCACTTAAACAAAAACAACTCAAATCCACCTGCTGTTTTCGATATTGGTGCATCACAACTGGTTCAGCCAAGGGTGCCATACCCAAAGTGAGGCCCTTCCCCTTGGCGCGCTGTTGCAATCGTGAAGGGCCCGCCGCTGACCGTGCACCTGAAACGGTCAACCAAAGACCCCCTGCTCTACCGTCGACACCGGGAAATCATCTGAACCCCCCCCAAAAAAATTGGAAAATATTAGGAACATGCGAAAACATGACATGTTCATGGAAAGGATTTGTGAAAAATCATCGAACATTACAGAACATTTACTTCTATCAAATGACTTTCCACGCCTGGACGCTGCAGGACCATCCTGCCGCGGCCGCCAAGCGCGCTTGGCAACCGTCCCCATCAAAATTGGATTAAAACAGCCCGCAAAAAATGGTCAATTTATGTTTTTTTTAACACATAGTGGTACATATATACTGCGATAAATTGGATTCTAGATTTTGCGAAGGTACCCCAATGGGGGATCCATATCCAAATCAAGTGGCGTATTATGGGATACTTGTGATAAATTATGTCATAACGTTGGAAATTGTGGAAAATCGTCAGAGTCACCCTCCAGGACGGGTAGCGGTTTATGAAACTGTGCCCGGCTGTGCCCCTACAAATGGGATGACGTATTTTACAGACACCTTTGACGTTGATAATTGCAAATATTGGCCATGTTTTTCGGCATGGATCCAATGTTAAAAAAAATAAACACGTTGGAAACTGCAAACCGTCCTTTCACATGTTTATCGAAAATATTGGAAGTACCTCGCCAAACTGTCCTCAATGGATTCATGTAATGTGGTGACCCATAAACCCTAAATCTACCCAGTGGAATGCTCCTCTCTCGGCCCTCGTCATCTGCAAGGCACGCAGTGTCCCCGGTGTCCGCATGCTGGCGATTCGTGGGCGATCCAGATCTGGAAAACCCGTGGTTTCCCCAAGAAACTCGCCTGCTTGATTGTCCGTATCTGTTAGTTTACTCGAGGGTATAAGCCAATAAACAATCAAAAGGATTCAAAAGGTCTGTTCCCATGAAAGAATGCGAGTAGTAGATCAACTTCAATTTGAATAATACTATGTATCTGGCTAGCGTGGATTTAGTGCATTTCCGACCACTTGCCACTAGTTTACCAGGTAGTGCCCGGCCCGCGCCGGGGCGGAAGTTTCGAAAGATTTAAACAACAAATGATGGCCTATATAGGAAAGTTCTTGAGATGCAAAGGCAAGAAACCGTTGAAGCTGTGAGGTGCATCAACGAAGGAGCAAATGGTGGTTGAGATGCCAATGATGTGAGCTCCGAGGTCTTGATTATATATATATATATACCCATAGGATCCGTGTATGGTATATATATGCTAACATTGGGGGTATATGGATGGCAAATGTTACCATATATAGCATACATGGATCCTATGGGATATATATATATATATATGTAGACTGCGCTCGGCGCGAAACGGAATTCAATGCAAACAGACCTGCCCTTTCTTGGCCAGTTTATGCCAAAAATCCTGCGCAGTCCATGTGTAAAAAATACCATCTAGAAACATCGTCCGCAATCAAGAATGTAACCAAAAAATGATATTATAAATATATACACTTTAAAAAGTATTAATATGTATGCAAATACCCATGTGTGCAATCTACTCTATTTACAGATGCATACAGAATTTCATACATATCTTACCATATTTTGTCGTTTTTCAATGATTATATGTATATATATATATATACGTGTATATCTGATCAATTAAAAAATAAAATATATTATCATGACATATGTTATTACCCATTGTGTGGATTACCCCTGCAACTTTTGGCAGCTTACCACCTTCGGCTGTGCCCCTTGTCCCTGACCTTGAGCACTGGCAATTCCCGGTTCTCACGGTTTTCACGGCTTTCGCGACCTGTTGGACGGTTTTTCACGGCCGTAAAGACCGGGATTTGCCTGAATAATAGGTACGTTATTTATTTATTTATTTATTTACTTATATATATATATTATATATATACATAAAGAAAAATATATATATATAATCTTAAAAGCATCTACTTAATCTTCAGAGATGCATCACCAACTGGATATGATAATATATGATAATTACATCTCTGAGAATGGGGGATGCCCCCCCATGCTATGGCCATTTAAAAGGAAAACTGGGAAACATGAGTCCAAGTGATGGGCCGTTTTAGAAGATTGTGGAAACCAGTGGTAAAGAGGAAGACCCTGATTTTAAGAAACTCGCAAATATGCAAATACGCTTTTGAATATATATATATATAATAATAATAATGCATATTATTTTGGTATACATGTATTACTTGGGAATGCCAACAAACACAAGGATTTAAAACAAAAACGCTTTAACATGTGTGTTGCTGGGGGCTCAGAACAGCATGGATTTGTAAGAGCTCAAGTGTCTGTTGGTGAGAGCTCATGTTCACAAGACAAAGGCCAGAAAGGGTGGAAAGTCAATGTCAATGAGAAGCCGTGGTGGGATGGACATACCAGTCCAAGTTGATAGCCTTTCACCGTGTCCCAATTTTGTTGTTCAATGCTGAGCTACATCTACTTCCCCAACGCATGGCCAACCAAAGCAAAGATCCTCCACCAGTTGCATGCCCAAAACATCCAAAAACCCTGGAGCGAAAAGGCTTCTACTAGATGCTTTTTCCGCCGAGCAACTTTTGGAAGGTAGTCGCCTCAGAGGCAGGTTGCCATCCAACTCATGCATCATATATTGCGAAAGCGAAAAGCGGTCGGGGTGCCCGTTTGTTGAAACGGAGCAACCTATTTCTGCAAATGAAACGCTGAAAAACGCCAGCATCGGGCATGGGTCGCCCAAAGGCAACCCTCCGAGGTTGGAAATATCCAAAGGTAATTACACTCGTACTATTTAACGCGGACGCGGTGGCCAAATATCAGGAAACTAACGTGTAACCATGGCCCACTAGCATGCAACATATCTTGATGCAATGAGCTGGTCCACTGTTGTCGTTAGTGCTTCATAGATTCTCTTGTTCTTATGTTTGTCAAAACTTATGACATATAGAAACAAACCAACGCAAAAAACGCGCACACACACACACGGCAGGTTAAATGATTTAGAAGAAGAGAAGGATGACTTTGATGTCGCCTTGCAAAATCCTTAAATGAACGGCCTGGCAAGCTGTGAAATCTAGACCCTAGAAATTCAAATCGAACTGATGCAAACACATGCAAACACAGTACGGCGGTTAACAGAAACTGAAGTCAATAGTTCAACTTATCAATAACGGGTACGTGATCGAGGCGTCCCTCAATCATATTCTGACGAATGGCTGGAGCTTCGTTGGATCAGGCCAGGCCAAACGCCCCTGATACCCCTGCTTGATAAGATAATACGAATTATATATATCGAATTACCCATTAATACTGCATGTGACCAGCAGTTTACACACACACACACCACTGTACAAACAGAATGTCTGGGTGAAT